GAAATTAGAAGCACAGCCCACTGATCCAGAACGACCACATTCTTCTCTCCATGATTACAAGCAATAAAATGACAAAACATTTCATCTCAACAGAGCGTCTCCAGTTCTGAGTCAAGTTCAGAGGTATTCTGTTGTCTCTGCAGGTAGATTAGTCCTCTGCTTTTGACCCATCCTGCAATCTAGGGCCCAGGACCAGGGCTGGAGGATTTGACATGCTTTTAGTGGCAGGGGAACCCGGAGCGCCTGGAGGAACTCTACTCAGCCACCTTGCTGCCCTTGCCCAGCTTTGAGAAAAGATCTAAAATACTGTATCTGTCAAAAAATACAATAATGACAATATCGATTTGTCTTGCAATCCACAAAACACTTGATTTTGGGCCTCAAATATGTTTGAATTTTAATTGCAAAAAGTGGACAGATTATGGCAATTTTCTTTCTAAAACCTGGAGATGGTTCATTTGGACTAAATTATTTCCCCACTGTGGGAGGAATCTCCAAATATTTATCTTAATCTGTGGTCAAATGAATAAAAATACAAATCTTTAGTGGAATAATCTTACATTGGTGGGATTATAATCATGCATCAAAGTTAGTTATTGTGACAAACCTAGGCATGTGATGAAGATTTTACTCTGAGTGGAGTGAAGAAATGTGAAAAAAACGTAATGAAAACAAGTTTATAATGGCACTCGAATGACGCCTTTCCGGAAAAAATAAATTAAAAGAAATCCTTGAGGTGTATTTACTCCTGCGCGACATCAAGTAGTTCCAGACAAAGCTGTTTTTATTTGAGAAAGAATCCGAGTCATCCATTCGTTTTCAGAAACACTCCACGTTTTATCACAGTAAAAGCTCCCCATTGACAAAGTACTTAATACCAACCAGAGCCTATAGCGCTGACTGCTGACCTTCACTGTCAAATGATGCTGCGTTGTCCCCCCCCCCCCCGAACCCCACCCCACCCCCCCAATCCCATTCTGCTTTTAGGCTATATGCTTCAATAGAGATACTTATAATCCTCAAGGTGAAACGGCGCCGGCAGTGTCATATTACGGAGGAGATCAAGCTGAATTATAGTTAGGTTCAGTGCTGCCCCGTCATCGCAACCCCTCTCTCTCTCTCTCTTCCCTAACCCCGTCACACGAGGGACGTTCAAAAGGTCCTGTGAGGCGAATGAAAACCTTAATTTACCAAGAAACACATTGGCGTATCCGATAAACCTCGGCTAATTGTGTTTACAGTGCGTCGAGAGGCCATTGTTTACCTTCAAAGTGCCGCAGTGCCCTGAATAGAAAGGCGTCGTAGGCTTTCAGGGGTGGCCAAGAAGTGGTAGAGTTTGTGTGTATAAGAGAACGAAGACGCCCGGTGCAATATTTATAGCAGTTTTTACGCCTGGATTAATACGTGCTCGTAAATTACAAGTTAACGTCGTTCTAATTTCTACGTATTAAGAGAGGTCTGAGGAATGGATGCTATAAATTACAAGCAAGAAATCAAAGGTGCTGATTGTTCCATCCATCCATCCATTTTCTACCCTTTAATCCATTTCTGGGTCAGGGGGGTGACAGTCAGAGATGCCACCCAAGTCTCATAGCACCAGCCCCTCACTGACCCTCTGCAGGTGGTGAGTCCACAGGAGGACGGCTGCTCTCTGAGTGTGAGCATAGCCTTGATCTTTCAGTGGGGGCTTTTGGGCAAAGTGGGGTTAAGTGTCTTGCCCAAGGACACAACGACAGCAGTCATCAGTGGGAGTCGGTGGAGAAGGTGTAGAGGTGGGAATTGAACCCACGACCTTCAGGCCTGAAGGCCAATGCTCTACCAACTGAGCTACTGTCGCCCCAATTGATTGTTGATTGACTGATTGTTGTCAGTGGGTAATAATAAGGCTGCACTCAGGTGTGTTTGAGTGCATTTGGACGACTGTGGGGTATTATCTGTACAAAAACAACTTTTTGCTGTTGACGTACTATTTTTTACACAGCGTTATGATTCTAAAAATGGCTTATATAGTAGACAAGGCAAGGCAGGTTTATTTGTATTGCTCAATTCATACACAATGCAACTCAAAGTGCTGAACATAATGAATAGAATCTCTAATGGCAATAGGATTTGGAATTAGACTTGTAGTGGTAGTGGTAGTGGTGGGTTCGAATCCCGGTCAGACCAGGGCCTTTCTGAATGGAGTTTGCATGTTCTCCCCGTGTCTGCGTAGGTTTCCTCCGGGTACTCCGGTTTCCCCTACCACTAAAAATATGTACAATAGGTCTGGCACGCGCCTCCTGTACTGGCCCCGCTCCCATCTCTGTGTGGAGTGAGAGACAAATGCCCAAAAATAACAGCTGTAAACCGCTTTGTGACTCTGGACAGTGAAAGGCGGTATATAAATAAACATTACTTACTACTTACTTACTTACGTGGTAGTGGTAGTAGTAGTGAATGAATGAATGAATTTTAGACAATCCACAAACGTCACCAAACAAAATATTTCATTTTTAAACCT